GTCTTCACGCCCTGGCAGGGCTGAAAAGAGGCAAGAGACGCCCTGCAATTTTACTGCCGTGAAATTGGCTCCAGATGGAAGCCAGGGAAGGTGTCTGCTCCCGGCCGGTGCCAGACACAGACGGAACCTGCGCGGCCTACCATCTGAGTTAGGCCCATTGTGCCACGGAGGGCCCGGCCAGGGCTCCCGCGCACGGGCTGGGTGTTGCTTGGAGAAGGACGTTTTAAATGTAATGACTTTCAGATGGGATGAGGGTTTGGGGAAGGCACTGAGGCTGGGATCTAGAGGGGCAGGGGCAGACAAGAGAAGGGACGTTTCTCCATGAGGCAGGAGAAATGACACATGTCAGTGTTTTCTCCAGGTTTCATTTCCAGATGCAGATGCCAGCTCTGCTCTGGAAGAGCCGGATCATGGCACCCTCTGAGTCTTCACACTTCTTCCTGATCCCCCAACCCTGTGATTCACAAGGGCTTAGCTTCGAGAGAGAGCGAATCTCCTCGGGCTGACATGTGGCCAGCTCGGGGGTGGAGAGGCTGGGATGCTGACGGAGAGCTTTGTGGCCATTGCAGACGGGAGGGGTGAGCCTCACCCACTCAAAGGCACCCGCACCCCACTGACTAGAGTGGAATCTTGTGCCTCTCCTGGCTGTCTTCTCAGGGAGACTGGTGGAGACTGCAGACTAAGGGGATGGGTGTTTTCTGGCTTATAGTGCCCCCTAGCACTGGCCAGAGGGATAGGACTTGGAGAGCTCTCCAAGGAGCTACCACCTGCATCTCGGTACTGGAAGGGGTGGGTGGGGCCAATCAATTCCACTCATACAATCTACACTTATCTATTACTGTATCGTTGTTAGAATAATCCATCTGTTACCCAAAGTGTCTTCAGTAGGCTTGCAGTCCAGGAAGGGAAGCAGGTGGGTAAACAGTCACGATAAAATGGACTAAATGGTGTAAAAGAAAGAAGCACACGGTGCAGTGGGGATACCTGGGATAATGAAGACTGGGGAAATGAATCAGAGGCGGCTTCCTGAAGGAGGTGACATTTAAACTGCGCTCTGAAGGCAGTGTAGGAGTTCAATGAATTTTGGAAATAAGTTTTGGAAACAGTGAAAAATATTTCCTGACTGTTTAATGTCCTGAGAGAAAGAGGCAGATAAACAAGTAATTACAATGGGGCTCCATGAGAAACAAGGTCGCAGTCTTTCTGATGCCATTGCCACCACAATCTATGCTTTCAAACTGAGTCTTGGAGGAGAGAGCAGAATAGGAACTCAATCAACTCAGTTGAGAGATGGATAGATGCTTGAGAGATGGATAGATGATTGAGAGATGGATAGATGCTCTTCAGTCTGGGCACATTTGATTTGTCCCAAACCTGTTTAAATGGAAAAATTTATCTTCCCTTCAGAAATATCCACCTTGCCCTTGAGACTTCCATAGACTTTAGACTTTGGCAGCCAACGGGGGTTTTGGAGACCCTTGGAGTATACTTCTCATCCAATAAACATGTAAGTCGAGGCCTGGAGAGGTGAGGTGACTTGTCCACCTTGTTCTTTTGCAGTAATCTTTGCAACAAATCTCAGGTCTTTCACTTTTTTTTTTTTCACTCTATCCCCTTTTTTTTACCGCAGGAAGAAAGTTTTCCCACATCTCTTTGCAGCAATATAGCTGCATCTTTTCAAAAGGCATTAGATGATGATTTAGAAAGGGGAAGAATAAACAAACAAGAGATAAACCTTTGCAGAGTAGAGCTAGAGTCCCTCTGTTTGGCTCAGAGGTGATTTTTCATCATGGAAATCTTTGCAAGGGTGGGGTTCTTCACGTGGTAGGTCACTTGGCCATGAACCTGCCTACTTCCTGAAATGCAGATCTGAACTGCAGATCCAGGGCTATGGTGACTAGGGTTTCCACGTCACAGGGCAAGCGTTTAGTCATGCACTGTAGCTGCGGGTGTGGAGGGTCAGTGTGTGGGGAAGAGAGCCCAGGTAAGGAAGGAATCAGGCCTGGGGCCCAGCCTTGACTCTGCCATCTGGCTCCTGTAAGCATTTGGGCAAATTCCTTCACCAGCCTATGCCTCTTTTCCCCACCACTGAAATGGGGGTGGTCTCTGATGTCCTCTTTAGGAACTCTCGATATCTATAGGACACTTCCCAGAGATCCCAGCATGCTGGTGTGGGTGCCACACAGACTCAGCTTTCCTAGCAAAGTTCCCCGGAAAGGGAATACCAGGTCAGACTGGTAGGTTGAAGGACAAGCCAGATCGATTTTGAAACTTTTTAGTTCTGCTGAGGTTTATAAATCTATCATTGTTCTTAGTTGTCAAGAGAAAGTGGAAGAATGATGTTTTCATTCTTACTATTTGCCCAGGTTCACTTCATCTGACTTAGCAAGTGGTCTTAAGAAAGCAATTCTTACACATCATTAGATTGGGATTGATGGCTGTGAGGTCCGCCTGCTGGAGGGCTTGTGCCTGGCTGAGGGGGTCCCCTTTATAGGGATTCCTAGAACTGGTTTCTTTCTCTCCCTCAGGGTGAGAACTGAGCTGCCCTTTCATAGGTAGACTCCTCAGGTTAGTCACTGGGGGCACTCTCCAAGTGAATGGGAATTTGAACTCCCTATCCTGAGCTGTATGGACCAGTCACGACAGGGACCAAATGGAAATAAACCAAGAGGCAAATTCATTACCTTTCGGCTGGAAAAGCAATCAGATTATTCTTGAGCTTACATAATTAGCTAGCTGTCAGCATCAAATGCTTCAGATGCTTTCTCTAAGGAACCTGTGGCTTTAAGTGCAGCAAAGGTTATCTGCCTCCTAGTCAGATTCTATGCAAGCCTTTCCTTGGAGGAAACCTTGGCATTTTGGACCAATCCTTAATATGAAAAGAAATAAGAGAAGGCCTGGCTCACGTGAGATGCTTATCCAAAGTGGATTAGGTCTGGAAAGGTTTATAAAACCTTCCACATGACTGTCGCTGAGCAGGGATGAGAGTGTCTTTCACACCCCACCAAGCACGTCCTCGCTCAACCCGGGGGCTTGCAGGAGTCCCGGACCGCCTTTCGCTCAAGACTCAGTGGGCTGCTGGCCACACCCACGTCTCCTGAACCCCATTTCATGTTTTTTCGGGCTAAAACACAGGGTGGCCAAATATCTCAGGCCTCAATATGTTTCCAGTGTGCTTGGATGAAGACGACAACCACATTTCATGAGATAACGGGCAGCGTGCTGGAGCAAACACAGAGAGAAAGAAAAATCTCCATGGATCAGGCGCTAGTTAGAGTTAAGGTGGGAAGATTCTTACAAGCTGGGAAGGAGACAAGACAGAAACATGTGGAAACCAGACTCCAGTTTTGAAGGAGGAAGGAGTTTCAGAAGTGCTCTTGGAAATCCCATGTCCAGTGGGATTTTCCGCTTCGGCCACTCCCGTGTCACTTCTCTAAGGGGTAAATGGAGGAATTGCTGAGAAAGAGGTTGGAACTGCATTTCTGAGCAGCGGCCCCAGATCTTATTTTGTTCCCAATTTTTAGCATTTTTGTAGCCAACACATTCAGAACGTCTTCTAAATGGGTTGAGCTGGGAGAGAATGAGAGGGAGACAGACACAAAAAGCAGAAAGAGAGAAGTTTCCAGCTGCAAAGGGGGTTATTTGCACCGAGTTAACTGCTTCTGGAGCCTTGGCAAAGACAGGTGGAAATGAGCGAACCCAGATCAAGCCAATCCCGCCACCTTCCAGTATCAGTTTTCTCATCTGGAAAGTGCTAATCGTACCTTAGGTCTCTCCCAGGTAGAAGGAAGGAGTATCGTGAGATGTCATGAGGCCAGGTAGGGGAACAGAAGACAGAATCAAGATGTTTCTTAATTATCAGAATAGTCACAATATTACTTATTAGCAGTTCTCCATCACAGCTAGATCCAAGGATCCATGCCTTATCCAGGATCTGGTTTTGTCCCAGTTTTTATCAGTTCTCCCCAGAATTCCTTGCTGAAGGATGGATACCTGTCTGCCCTGGGTGGAACTGCCATGTCCTCCTGCCCTTTCTTCTTTCTCTGTTTCAAATAACTCAGCGCCTTTGCACCTGCTGTTTGCCCCTGCCTGGCATTCTCTCCTCCCAGACTGCCACATGACTGCGATTTTTCTTGTTCACGTATCAGCTGGGGTGTCACCTGCCCCCGAGGCCTTCTCTTTCTACCCCGCAGAAAGCAGTGCCCTTTCCAATCATTTCTAACTTATGACTGTTTTCTTTTCTTCATAGCGCTGTCACCCAAGCAAACCACCCTGTGCATTCACGGATTTACTGCTGCATTGCCTGCAAGTTCCACAGGAGTAAAGACTGTTTTGCTCACCCCCAGCATCTAGAACCGTATGTGTTGAGTGACTACACAATTTACTCCTTGTCAGCCCGCCAAATAACCAACTATTACAGTCAGGCACATGGTTTCATCCTATCAGGAAAGGCAGAAACCAGGGACAGGGTAAAGAGTTGAGGGTGGGGGCTTGGGTCATCTCCCTGCCTCTTTGCCCTCTGCGCTCTCCAGGTGGAGAGACACCCTTTGACCGAACCACCTCTCCACCCAGCGCTGTCAAGATCCCCAGGATCAGGGCCGTTCCCGACCCGTGGAGGGGTGGGTGCTGGCGTGGGTGGATTCTGGTTTGGCTCCCAGGCGCCCAGAGGTGCAGGGTGGACGTGTGGCCACCGGGTAGGCGAGAGAGGGCTGGGGGCGCCGATCGGGGGGCCCCTCGGCCTGCGCGGGTCGGAGGCGCGTCCCAGCCCACCCACTCGCGTGCCCACAGCCGCATTATTCCCTATAAGGATCTGAACGGTCGGGGCGCCCCGCCCTGTCGCCCAGTCGCCCCGTGCCCCGGGCCCGCCCCCTTTTCGGAGGGCCTATGAGGTAATGCAGCTCTGCTATTGGTCGGAGGGGGCGGGCCCCGAGCACCCGAGAGGGGGTGCCGGGGGAACCCGCGCTATATCACTCGGCTGCGGGGCAGCGGCGCAGAGCGGGCAGCGCGCGGGCGCTCAGACAGCCTCTCCTCCTGCGGCTCCTGCGCCTCCGGCTCCGGCTCCTGCTCCGGCTCCAGCTCCTGCGCGGGGAGGCCGCCCCCGGAGTCGTGCGCCCGCCCCCAGGCAGCCTCGCGGCGCCGGGTCCCGTCCCGCTGGGCACTCGCAGCGCTGCGCGCCGAGGCCAAAGTTGCCCCGCACGGCCGGCGGGCGAGCTCAGGTTGCAGCGGCCCCCGCGGCGGCGCGCACAGAACTTTGGAGAGGCGAGCGGCAGCCCCAGCAGCGGCAGCGGCTATGACTCCCTGGCTCGTCGTGCTCCTGGGCAGCTGGAGCCTCGGGTATTGGGGTGCCGAGGCGTGCACATGCTCGCCCAGCCACCCCCAGGACGCCTTCTGCAACTCTGACATCGGTAAGCGCTCCGGGCGCCCGCGCGCACGCAGCCTCCCGGACTGGGGCGCTGTTCCCAGGGGCATGGCGAGCCCCGCTCCTTTGCTTGCTTGGCCTGGGCTTGGGGCGCGCGGTGGGACGCGGTTGCCCCGGGCAGAGCGCTAGCGTAAGTGGGGAGATGCCCTGAGGAGGGACCCCACGGAGGTGGGAGTGCAACCCTTGCAGGCTTCGCGTTCCTGTTAGGGCTTGAGGTTCCCGCTGGTCCTGTTGACATTTGGAGAATTTCCCTCTCCATGATGGTGGGAGCAGAGCTGGGGGGGAAGAGAGGCCAGGGCGCCTCAGTTTTGGAATGCCAGCCAAAGTGCGGGAATGCTGGATTGAAAAAAAATAAAAAAGTTGCCAGCCATGTGCATGGAAAGTTGCAGAGAAACTTGAAGTTTCCTGAGTTTGCAACACCTCCTGGCCCCAAGAAGTTTCCTCTTTTTCTTGAGACCCACCTCAGGCTCCCCCTTCCCGGGCAAGCTCGTGGAGCTTCTTGGTCTGCCAAGTCTGGGTGGATTTAAAGGGGAAAATAAGAAACCTGGGGGGTGACCCTCCCCGGGAGGAGCTGTATTTGAGAGTGCCGAGAGCCAGCAGGAGGTGGCGTGTGTGAGGATCACCGCGCGGAGCTGTGAGAATTCACAGGAAGACGCTTTTTCCCCTTTGAACGTGTGTGTGGAGGGGGAGAATGGACCGCGGAAAATAGATTTGTCACCCCAAGAACAAAGATGCCCAGGGTCACAGCATGGTGGCGAGTCCAAGCTGGACTTCATGTCTTGCTTGGAGGGGCTCAGTAAGACCCAGACCCAGCTTTTACTGGGGGCCCCGGGAGTGCTGGGAGAACTCATTTGGGAATGTTGGGGACACCGATGTAGGAGGTGGGGCGGCAGCTGGAAAACATCTCTCCCCTCCTTTCCAGCTCATAAAGCATGGAGTCCAGTGGCCCCTGCCGTGTGTGTGTGTGTGTGTGTGTGTGTGTGTGTGTGTGTGTGTGTGAGTGTGTGTGTGTGTTCGTGCGAGTGTGCTGGGTTGGGGGTGGGGTTGGGACACAGCCTAGCGGCCCTCTGCCTTGTCGATTCAGAGGTGAAGAATGGACTGTGTGTGTTTTAAGCACAGTCGTAAAGGGAAGGAAAATTTCCACTGGATTCTGGGTGCGGGCCTCCACAAGTGCGCTGCAGGGGCGGGGGGGAGGAGGCAGGAGCCTGGCAGGAGAGGCCGCAGAGGCTGGGAGGGGCGATGCTGGTGGGCTGGGCAGAGCCTCCAGAAGTCAGGGAGGTGGCTGTGGTGACCAGAAGGTCAGTAGAGTTGGCAGGCGCTGGTGTTTGTGTGACCCGGGGGCACCCTTGTGAGAGGATTTCTGGGGCCCTGCACTGTGTGCACCCTTCCCTCTCCGGGGAGCCTGGCTGGCGGCTGGGGCTGGGGATTGCCTGGAAGGAAGCTGCCCAAGGCCTGGAAGGTTTTCAGCCTCTCCCCCTAGGTGCCTCAACCCAAATTCCACTTGGCCTTCACCCCTTTGGTGCCACCCACCTCTGCGGAAGTGGGAGCTGAGGGTGGTAGTCCTGCGCCATGAGAGAGCGCACGTCCTCGGGGCCCAGGCCAGCAGGTGGATTGGGCTTCCTCTTCTGCTTGCAATGGCTGGGGCAATGGCTGGGGTGTGCTCCATAGGAGTTTTTGTTGTGTGAAGAGATGGGAGTAGGGGAGGGACTTCCCTTGTGCCCTTGGCTTTGGGGTTTCCATCTGAGAAGCTCACCAAGGCCCAGTGGAACCCAGAACAAGGAGACAGTGGCTTCCCAGGGGGGCACTGCTGCGTTCTCAGGCTGTGGGTCTGGGCCGTTGCAGAAAGTTTCTTGTTTTGTGTCTGGATTTATTCAAGAAACAGTCCTCGTCACTGCCCCCCCCCATGCCCCTCCCTTTAATAAGCTGCCCAGAGAAAAGCTAAGTTCACAGGCAGTCCCCTGAGACTAGAGCAGGGTGGTAGCAAAAATAGAAAAAGAAACGAAAAATCTTCGATGGGCTGGCACCCGTCCAAAACTGTTCTGCCTCGGCTTGGTGCAGGGATGAGCTAATGCATTTAAAAATGGGAGGTGTGGATGAGGGCTGCTGGCTTGCTGACCTCCCGCTGCCTTGCAGCGCCCTGCTGTCCGGTAGGTGGCTCCCAGATGCCCTTGCGCACGCTCGTGGGCTCATGGCTTCAAGGCTGCCAGTCGGCTGAAGCTCTCGGCCTGTTCTCCCCTCGGAAGGAAATGTGTAGCTGCTGAGCCCTGCGACCCCACAGTCAAGGCCGTAGCCCATTCAAGATGCTCAGCCCTCCTGCTTCCTCTTCCAGAAACTTCCTGGCTGTTTTCTCTGTGGCTGGGTGCCATGCTGCCTGGGGAAGGACATGGCTGATCTGGCCCGACTTTCTCTGAGGACCCCGCACGGCCTTCTCTGTCCTTTCTCCTCATCCACAGGTGTCTCTTTTCGCCTTTCTCCCCCAAAGCCCCAGGGATTGGCATTGCCTTCTGGGTGAGGAGGAGTTAAAAGGTGTTTCTATGGCAACGCCAGGCCCTGCACCCTAGTGAAGTGTTTAGGAGAAGAATAAACTACATGCTGGCTTATAAAACATAATGTGGGGAAAAGAAAAGAACTTGCTTGGCAGCAGCCAGGATGTCTGCGGCCCCCTCCCCACCAGTCACTGCCCCTGAAACTCTTGACAAAACCTTGACTCCAGAGGAGGAAGCGGAGGGGCTGGGAAGGAGCAAGGTGACCCCGGCTGGGCAGACCCTGCTCCCCAAGTCCGTCCAGCTCAGGAAGGAGTGGTAGTGCCAAGAGCCTGCAGAAAATTGGGGTGTGTGTGCCTGAGCATGTGTGCGCGGATGGTTTCTGCAGAAGGGGGATGCAGTAGAAATTTTGCTTCAGTTTGCCAAGTCCTCTCCGGTCTCCCTTGCAGGAAGGAATGGGGCTGTGGGATGGAGCTTCAGGGGCCGCCTCCCCTGAGCCTGTTGGGAATATTAGAGTGAGGCTTAGCTGGTGGGGGGCAGGGGGGCGCTGGCAGCCCAGGAGGATGGTCCCTGGATATCTCTGGATTGTTTTGACAGGGACGAGTGCCAGCGGATTCTTTCTGTATCAGATCTGAGGTTGTGGTTTTAGCAAAGAAATCATTTTCAAAGGAGCCAGATCTGTTCTCCCTCCTCCCCTCCACACACGCACAGAGTTACATGCCACACTGGGCTTGGTGACTTAAGAAAAATAAAAAGGCTCAGACTTCAGAGAGGAGCCAGCTACTTGGGGAGGGACCCCGGCTGTCCTGGAAAGGTGGCCTGGAGGGAAGACCTTCCATTGGGCTGGAAGAAGGAAGGAGCATTTCTCAGACTCCAGCTCCCCCCTAGCAGATCCTGCGCCCTCCACCCTCCTGGCAGTCTGGAGAGTCATTTTTTTCAGTTGCAAAGCTCCGAGGCTAAGAGAGGCTGCTTGCCCAAGGTCACCCAGCTGCTGAAGGGTGCGGCTACACTTCCTACTTAGGTGTGCCATTCTGCGAACATTTTAACTTTCACCAACCCACGATCGTCTAAGCAGATGATTTCTCCTCCGAGGACTGAGATGGAACAGACAGTTAGCTGCTCCACAGCTTTGCTTATGGATTTGGGATGTTTTGTTAAAAATGGGAAGACAGCCAAGCAGAGTTCTCACAGTTATGCCCACCATCAGCATCCTCTTACGATATAAATAAAGAAAAGCAAAGGAAAATTTCTAATATTTTTGGCTATCGGAACTGGAAGAGACCCTCACAGACATCAAGTCAAGTTAAAAAAAAAAAAAAAAAAAACAAAGATTCTGTTTGTCTCCTTGAGGCTCAGGAAGAAGTAAAGTGAATAGGGATGAGATGGGTTTAGCCTCCCCTTGGGGGATGTGGTGGGTCGGGCCTGGCATCTCTGCAGAGGGTTGGTGTGTCCAGAGGAAAGCCAGAGAGAGTGGGGAGGTTGGGATCTGGCTGGCAGGAGAAGCCCCTCGCCCAGTGTCCCATGTCCCTGGCTAGATACGGCTAAAAAAAATGGCCAGAGAGGTGGCTTAGGTGGAGGGACTTTTGTTTGTTTTGCAGGAACAGCAGGAACCATTCAGCTCTACTGCTGAATGGCACATTCCAACAGGTTCATTAATTACAAACAAAAACAACAACGCAATTCTCCATCCTGGTTGGCTTTTACCATTCTAGCCAGTATGGACAAGGAGGCCCCTTTTGCTAGTCTTTGTCACAGGCGACTCCTGGGTGGCCTCAGAGAGGCAGGGTGGGGTGGTGGGAAGGCCGGCGCGTGGGCAGAGCTGGGCTGAAACCTCTCCTCCGGGGCCGACTGGCTTTGTGCACCGAGGCACGTTATTGGATGTCTTTAAGCTTTCACTCCCTCGTTTCTAAAATGGGAATAATGTGTATGACCTTGGCCCTTTAATTTTTATTCACATTTTTAAAACTACAAGTATTCTATGAACACAGCCTGTGTTTTTATATGTGTATGCATGTATCTATATGATCTATCCATTCATCCTCCATCCATTCACTCATCCATCCACCTCTCTCCCTCTCTCCATGTCCATTCTTCCACCCATCCATCATCCATCCATCTAAAATCGGATAAAGGTCAAGTCCTTTGCAGCATTGCCTCTAGTTCTAGACCCCTTTCCAGTCTCCAAACCTCCTTTTCTCCTGCATCTATATATGTAGGTACCCACAGAAAATGCATAGTTTTTTCTAGAAACATGACTAGTAGAACACTATAAATAATGGACTACCACATGGAACACTCTCCTTTTCTCTCCATTGAAAAAATGTGTGTTAGAGATCATTCTCAGTTAGTATACTTATAGATATGCTCAGGACTTTTATATATAGTATTCCATAGGGCTATACTTTTAAAAACTAACATTATGGAAATGATTGCTATGTGCCAGGCACCTTTCTAAATAATTAACACAATTAACTCATTAAATTCTCTTGATAGTCCTATGAGG